TTTGCAGGTAAGGTAAGGTAGCTGCAGCCTTTTCTCTTAGTTCCGTTTTTGGCAAAAGTGGTGCTCGATTCAATTCCCCTGCCTAAACAGGCACGCACGCAATGATGAGTGGGTCTCGCGTGTTTCTATTTTGTTATTCTCTCTGTTCATAAGTAGCTTTATCTGCAGGCTCTGTTCCATTATTCATGCTATATAATTCTCTTTCTTTTGAATGCCTTGCATTGCCCACTTCAATTCAATCTACGCCTGCCTGCCTGCCTGCCACAAAAGGTGCAATTTCTCTTCTTTACAAAAGCCGCTGGGGGTGAGAAGAAAAGCGTCAGAGGAATTTCGGATTTGCATTCCACCCCGCCCGCTTGGTAATTGTATTATTGGTATCCAATGAAAGATAAATTCGAGCTTGAGGGTTCTGATTCCAACACGCCTCGAAGTTCAGAATAAATGAGATATGTCATCATGATCATCATGTGCATGTTAGTAAATCATCGTCTTTTTATTTCTTGATACTTGTTGAGGAACCCTATAGCCTCCTATGAAACGGGTTAGCATGCTAACCCCTTAAGGGTTGGTTTTTTGACTAACCTTTTAATTGGTCAATTTTTCATTAATTATTGACAAGTATTAATGAAAGTAAACATAATAAATGTTCTGTTATGAAGGCTCTGGGACTGGTTTGTGAGGAACTCATCTGAAATGCTCTCAACCGCGGTCGCTCAGGAACCTTCTTCGGCGAAGGAACTGACTTCGTCAGACAGGCCGCCAGATCCTCCTGATCAACCCAAGAATCAACAGCAACTTCAGATCTCCAGCCCTCCAATACTGAATTTCAAAGCAGCGCTGGCGGGGACACCCTCAACAAATCCATCCAGAACGGCTCAATGGACCTTCATTGGAGACCACGACCTAGAGACATCCACGTTCCAAGGAGCGCCAGCCTTGAAAATCTCCCCGGCGCTAAAGGAACGGCTGTGTCAACCTTGGAAAAAGACACTGATAGTTCGACTCCTAGGCAGGTCAGTCTCATACTCGCACCTTGTTTCACAATTGCGGTGGAACTGGAGACCGGTGGGATCTCTAGATGTCATGGATCTTAACAACGAAACTTTCTTAGCAACTTTTGGAAACGACCAAGACTATCTAAGGGCACTCACAGGTGGACCGTGGGTCATCCTGGATCACTATTTGATTGTTCATCAATGGTCTCCAACCTTCCGCACCTCCGACAAACCTCACAGATCAGTGGTAGCGTGGGTACAATTGCCAGAGCTTCCAGTGCACTTTTATCACAGAGAAATTCTCTTTGCTTTGGGAAACCTCATCGGACGCACAATCAAACTCGACTATCACACTGAGAAACTAGAAAGAGGTAAATTTGCTCGTATTGCTATCGAGTTAGATATGACGAAGCCATTGCCCACAAAAATCTGGCTAGATAACTTTTGGCAGCAGGTCATGTACGAGAATCTCCCCACTATCTGCTATGAGTGTGGGCAGATTGGGCACCAAGAAGATTCCTGCCCTAAAATCAACCAGCACGCGACTATGGTGACCTCGCCGGATTCTAGAAAACTAGCTTCACCGGCGACGAGCTCACAAGATCTGCCGGAGGGATTTGGGCCCTGGATGCAAGTCACGCGAAAATCAAGGAAACAGATTAGGAAAGCGAATGAGGTGAACAACCAAAATCGAGGACAGCCAAGTCAAAATCGAGCAGATTCTGGCAAGGGATACGGGTCTGCAAAAGGAAAGGGAGAAGAACCAACAGGAAAAGGAATCAGAGAGAAAAAAGGAAAAGCAGAACAAACCTTGCACAACAAAAAAGGAAGCTCTACAAATCAGAAACAAGACATACCAAAAGATGATGACATACTTAACGGTACAAAAAAGGCCCAACCTCTAAAAGAATGGAGGCCCATTGGTACGAGAGAGGCGACACAGAACAGACCAGCACAACAGATTGAGGCTAGCCCAATGACACTAGGATCAGAACCTTCAACATCGGGCTCCAAACAGATTTCCGTCACCGAAAGAACACAGGGTCAACAAGGGACTACTATTCGAGTTATCTCAGTTCCAGAACTGGTTCTCCCAGGCAAAGAAAACACCAACCCCAATACTACAATATCTTCTATCCGCCAACACTACCAAAGGAAGAAAAACGAAACTGGAAAGCAAGAGAAACCAAGAGGAATCAATGTCAAGGCGGCCAAGAAGCCACTCCAAATCAGAAGTGCTAAACAGCAAGAGACACCGCAGAAAGCCAAACATGTGAGCGGTCCGATTACGATGCAGTCTATCGAAGAGTTTTGCTCGCAAGCTCAGCGTAAGATGAAGAACAATCATCAAATGACCCAAACGAATCAAGAGGATGTCCCCATGGCGGAGACTTCTTCACCCTCGACGGCAAACGAAAATCAAATGGAGGACCAAGGACTCGCGGCGACAGAACTCGCCAGCCCCACCACCTCTTGATCCCTTTCCCTGCTTTTTGAGTTTTGTCTTTTGTTCCTTTTTTTTTATCCAGTTTTCTATGTCTACTCATATTAATTTCAAAATACTTTCTTGGAATGTGTGTGGAGCAGGTAGCAGGAAGTTCATCCGGGCTATCAGACTTCTCAGTGAAACACACAAACCAGATTTGTTGATTCTGTTGGAGCCACAAATTAGTGGCGATAAGGCAGACTCGGTTTGTAACAAGCTGGGCTTTGACGAAGTCTTGAGAATAGACGCAGAAGGGAGAACAGGTGGTATTTGGATTGCATGGAAAAGCTCCAAATTCATGGTTGACTTGGTTGATGCGAGCAAACAACATATCACAGTCAAAATTGATTCTCTGAGTAAGCAACAATGGCTTCTTACCGGTGTATATGGCAGCCCCCAATACCGGTTTCAATCTTTAATGTGGGATCACCTCATTCAGACTAGCAAAGATACAAATATTCCGTGGCTAGTAACGGGAGACTTCAATGCCTACTGTCTACCGGAAGAAAAGCTGGGTGCCAACTCTCCAGCTTCCCTACGAAGATGTCAGCGGTTCTGTTCGTGGATAAATCAAGCTGAATTAATTGATCTAGGATACTCCGGACCTAGATTTACCTGGTACAGGGGAGAAACGCAGGCTACCAGGAAAGCTAGTCGAATAGATAGATCACTATGCAATGTGGCCTGGAATTCGACTTTTCCCAACTCTTCGGTTCAACATCTCCCCAAATTCCACTCGGATCACTTGCCCTTGCTAACGTCAGTGGGCAACCAACACAACACAGATTATGGAAACCGGGATAATTTCAAGTTTGAGGCTGTGTGGTTGACGGACAACAAATTCAAGGATTTTTTAGCTGCTAATTGGAATAAAGAAATACCTCTACAGCAAGCCTTGAAGGAAGTTACCCCTAAATTACAGCAGTGGAGTAAAGAAGTGTTCGGTTCTGTTAACAGGAAGAAAAGGAGATTGTTGGCTAGATTGAAGGGTATCACAGACCGGTTAGCAGTTTCCTTCAATCCTGGACTGTTGAAGCTTCAACTTAAGCTGGAAGGAGAGCTTGACTGGGTACTAGCACAAGAAGAAATTGTCTGGTTTCAGCGTGCCAAAGAGAAATGGGCGACTCTGGGGGAACAAAATACATCCTACTTCCACCATCAAGCCACTAGACGTAAAAGAAGAAACAAAATTTTAGCTCTCAGGAATGCAAATGGAGACTGGATAGATGATCAAGAATCTCTCCTCAACATGGTTCTGAATTTCTACACCACTCTCTATACGGAAGATGGGGATCAGTATGAGGACCTCATGCCCAAAAACGTTTTTCCCAGGCTGCAGCAAGAAGATAGCATGGCTTTACATCGTCCCTACCATATTTCTGACATCCACAAAGCAATCCATGATATGAAACCTTATTCAGCTCCAGGTCCGGATGGTTACCAAGCCATCTTCTATCAAAAATTCTGGCCAATAGTGGGGAAAAACCTGGCGGATATGGCTTCAAGCTACTTTGAAATAGGCGAGATTCCAACAGAGACTTTGGATTCGACAATCGTTCTTATCCCTAAAATGGAACAGCCTGAGTCTCCTGCTCAATTCAGACCTATATGCCTGAATAATGTCGCCCTCAAGGCAATTACTAAGGCAATTACCAATAGATTAAAGCCTTTGATGCCAAAAATCGTTGCTCCCACTCAGAGCGGTTTCATTCAGGGTAGGCAGGCAAATGACAACATACTTCTTCTTCAAGAAACCCTTCACACTCTCCGAAGGAGGAAAGGGAAGAAGGGAGGCTTGGTTATAAAAATCGACCTTGAAAAGGCCTACGATAGACTCCGGTGGGACTTTATCAGAGATACGCTTAAGGAGGTCGGGCTGGCCAGCTCTCTCATCAGCAGAATCATGACTTGTGTGGAAAGAAACAAGATGCGAATCAGCTGGAACGGGCAACTCTCGAATCCAATTATCCCCTCCAGAGGAGTTAGACAGGGAGATCCCCTATCACCCTTCCTTTTTATTCTTTGCATGGAAAGATTGGCCCATAAAATTGAACAAGCAGTCGAGGCAAAACTTTGGAAACCATTACAACTCTCAAAAAATGGTCCAAAGTTGTCCCATTTATTTTTCGCTGATGACCTTGTTTTATTTGCAGAAGCTGAAGGGAGTCAAATCGACATCATCAAGAGGTGCCTTGACGACTTCTGCAGCAGCTCCGGACAACGGGTTAATCATAGCAAGTCGGCAATGTTCGTCTCACCAAATGTTCGACGAGATAAAGCTGCCAGACTTAGCTCCCGAGCAGGAATCAACCTTACGGCGGACCTGGGAAGATATCTAGGAATCACTGCAATAAACGGCAGGATAACCAAGGCCCGCTACAAGGAACTCCTGCTCAAAATTCAGAACAAACTAGCGGCGTGGAAAACAAGACATCTCTCAATGGCAGCTAGAGTTACTATGGTGAAAGCAGTAACTTCTAACATTGCTATATACCCCATGTTTTCTGAACTTCTTCCTGTTGGTGTATGCAAATCGATAGACAGGTGTAATAGAAGTTTCATTTGGGGAGAAGAAGAAGACAAGACAAAGCTTCACTCGGTGGCGTGGGAGCATTTAACCCAACCTCGGCATCAAGGAGGTCTTGGAATCCGCCCTACAAGAAGAACCAATCAAGCCATGTTGGCAAAGGGAGCATGGAAACTCATAACAGACGATCAATCTTTATGGGTCGAGGTCTTGAGAAAGAAATACGGGCGCGGCAAGAGAGATTTGCAGATGCTAGCAAAATCAAAGGGAAGTTCTCATGCTTGGAAAAGTTTTGCCCAAACGGCAAACCTCCTACGAAAAGGAGCTGCTCAAAATGTTAAGAATGGGAGAAAAACTAATTTTTGGTTGGATACGTGGGTTTTGCAGGAACCTTTACTCGCCCAAGCTACGACAGAGATCCCGATGGAGACATGACAGAAGAAGGTTGCAGACTACTGGACAGAATCCTCAGGCTGGAAGATGGAGGATTTGAACCAACTCCTCCCTATAGAGGTGTTGAACAAAATCAGAGCAGTAAAACTGGATCCATTATCGACAACTGAAGACAAGCTCTTTTGGAAAGCTTCAGCTAATGGAGTTTTCAACACCTCATCGGCATACAAGCTGGAAGAACAACAGCAAAACAACCACAGCTCATTCCAATGGCGCAAGATCTGGCACCTCCAAGTACCAGAACGAGTTCGCCTTTTCATGTGGACAGCAGCGAAGGGAAGGTTGACTACGAACAGCATTAGAAAGTTCAGGCATCTCACCTCGGAAGACAAGTGCGCCTTGTGCGGTACAGAAATAGAAACTAACTTACACTGCTTGAGAGACTGCAGCAAGATCAGAAGAGTTTGGGAAAAAATTGTACCAATAACACAGCAGCAACAGTTCTTTTCAGCTAACCAGGAAGACTGGTTGAAGACAAATCTGGAGAGCAACGAGAACAGTGGAGAGACAGGGGAGTGGGCCAGCTTCTTTGCTTTGGTTAGTTGGTACATCTGGAAACATCGGAATGATTATATCTTTAAAGCAATCAGATTATCCAACTATACTCTCATTAACTACATTGTATCGAAGGCGAAAGACTGGATAAGTACTTGGAAGAAGGCTATGGAAACAAGAGATTCACTGACTAAGCCAGCAAGGGAAGAGCAGTTAATAGGTTGGTCTCCACCACAACCAGGTTGGAGCAAGCTAAATACGGATGGCGCCGCTCAGGGGAATTCAGGAATTATTACTGCAGGAGGAGTCCTCAGAGATAGTGAAGGAGATTGGATAGCGGGTTTTGTTTGCAAGATAGGAACCGGATCTGCCATTCTGTCAGAGCTATGGGGCATCCACCAAGGACTCGAACTAGCTTGGAGGAAGGGAATACAATTTCTGATACTTGAAACAGATTCGAAACTGGCAATAGAGCTCATCAATAAAAGATCAGACCCGGTACATCCTCATGCCACCCTTTTAGACTCTATTCGGAGAATGCTTGCTCAGAGTTGGATTGTTCGTTTGGTTCATACATATCGCGAAGGGAATAGAGTCGCGGACTGGCTCTCGAAGCACAGTCTCGTCTATCCCTTCGGTACGTATGAATTAGATGAACTACCAACAGATTTAGAGAGACTTCTACGTGAAGACATGATTGGGATCAGCTTCCCTCGGCAAGTGATTATAGATGGTTCAAATGAGTGACTGTTTTACTGGTTTTGGTTTTTGGCTTGTGATAGGATTTGCTTGGGAGCATTTGAGTATGTTTTCTTCCTGTTGGAAGGTGATCTGCTCCTCCCCTTTGAGCTCTCTGTAACTGGTTCTCTGGCTTCTGCCTCCTCTCAATCAAAAAAAAAAAAAAAAAATGTTCTGTTATTAAATACAAAGTAAGCATTAATTACACCACATTAATTACCACTTTACTGGTATTTGTACCACTGCACTGATACTCAGATATGACATTGCTACCAGTGCACTGATATCGCCACCAGTGCAGTGGTATATCTACCAGTACAGTGGTACACCGTATCAGTGCAGTGGTATATTTTTTGGAGGTGGTCGGAGGGAGTCTGCCGATGGGATTTTCACCGGAGAAGTGTGGCGGTCGGAGACTGCTGAAAAAGGAAAAATCAAATATAGTGAGAGAATTCCTAATGTGTATTTAATGTGTGTATTTAATTCCTAATGTGTATTTAATAGTGAGAGAATTCCTAATTAATATGGTACATTTAATTCCTAATGTGTATTTAATGTGTGTATTAAATTCTATAGTTGTATTTAATATACTAGGGGTGTCATTTTTCCAACCCCTAAGGGGGTTAGCATGCTAACCGACCCCGCCTCGTGTCATGTCATACACAATCACTCCTCGTAAAAATTAAATATATAGATTATCACCATCATCATCATTGTTGTTCGAATTTTTAGTGTTATTAAGCTATTAATGTTTTATCGGGGCAATTTGTTAAGACAATGTAAATAACAAAAAATATATATATATATATATAGTGACTACTTCGGCGCACTCAAAAAATGAGTGCGTTCAATGCACCCAATTCAAAAACTAGTCTTAAGGAGTCGGATTTGGAATTTTAATTTGTAGAATTAGTATAATATGATGATATAACATATGATACCAACTAATTAGCGGAATACTCTAAGCCCTAGACCTCCAATTTTGAGTTCTATCCCTAAACCCCAAACTGTAAACCCTAAACTTAGATCTTTAAACTCTAAATCCTTCAAATTAAAGCAAATCTTTCATGGTTTTTGTGCAAATTCATGTGCGTTATTGTTCATCACATCATAAGTGATGATTGACATCATTTTGACATAAATCTCATGTTTAAAATGACGATTATGAAGCGAGTGCACTGAATGCACCCAAAAAAGTGAGTGCACCGAAGACGCCACTATATATATATATATATATTTCCCACTTTCGTAGGTGTATTTCAATTCTGGTAAAAATAAGAATGATTAAATATAAATTAAGCTATTTATTCCGAAATGAAGCATGAGCTGAAATGTGTATGAGCAGTACAAAACCCTCCTACCCATATCGTTACTAAATATTGTTCCTTCTATCCAGTGACAGACCCAGAATTGTTGGAAAGGTGTGTCGCCGATAAAATAAAATATTAATTGATTAAAAAATTTAAAAAAATAAATAAAAAATAGATAGAAATTACTAGTTGAAACTGTTCTTTCACTCAACCAATCCCAAATTCATTCTTGATTATCTTCAAAGTTGAAAATGCTCTTTCGCAGCTTGCAATTGCACCATGTAAAGTCAACACCAGCTTCAAGAGCAAGTAAACTAAGGATCGTTTGGAAGTTGCGATTGTTAAATAGATGTATTGTTGTGAATGCATGTATAATATTATACATGTATAGTCGAAGTTTGATGCATTGTAGAATACAACGTTTGGTATGTATGATTGTGTATGTCACATCAGCTAAACGCCGAGACAAAACATTCTCAACTCAACAATCTCAACAATCACAACTAAAGTTGAAATTTAATAATCACTCATCTTGATTAATAGTTTCTGTCACATCACAGAAAACAATCCATGTATTGTTTCTGCAAAAAAAAAAAATCAGAAAAACGATACATATATAATCAACAATCTCAACAAAGCAATCACAACTTCAAAAAAGTTATAATCTTCTATTCTCATCCTCCCCCACTCTAAATCAATGTCCTCGTCATTTCAAAATAGTCTCTTTTCGTATAAGGAGTCCCGATGCCTTAGAGTTTCTTGTAAATCTATATGTTGAATAACACATTGTTATACATTGACTTGCGATGCTTTGTTGGTAGCATTGAGGTCTTACCTCGTTTTCAAAGACTTGGAATTGAGTAGAAAAATGTGGACACGCCATTACTTTGTAGGTCACCCCTCCCTCTTGAGCAAGCTATAGTATTTGTCAAGCACACCACACCCTGATAAAAAGCATTTAATAGAACCAACATGCATTTTCCCTAAGGTTAGCTTGTGAAGAAAAGCCGATACCAATAAGCAAGCTAGCAAACTTTGACTTTGCCCTACAACCCTCCCATCTTTCTCATATCACCTCACCAAACAAACAAACCAACAGCCCAGAGTGTTTCCAGGCTTCTTGTAAAGATACGGTTTTTGGTCTCTAGTTTTCTCCCAACCCACATTTTCTGACATAAACACTCGATCGAACAACGTAAACTCACTTGTGTGTCCTTTCTTTGTAGTGTTGTGGGATTACTAGTTAATGCACCACTTGTAGGACAATAATTCCAGCATGAAGCCAAACGCACCAGCAGAATGTTCTGTGGCTAGAGTAAGTTCATAAGCAAGAGTCCATGTAATGGTGCAGGTGAGAACAAATAATTATTTTCGTTTGGGCCATGGGCCCATCAGATTCTCATTTGGATCGACATTACCTAGTAGTCCAAGTTCAGAGTTCAAATGTGAATTATATAAGAATAAAAATTTGGAGCAAATTAGGGGGAAGTGATGAGGTTGGTACTTTGGTAATGGTAGGTAGGGAGACTGAAGCTTCTAAGCATTATCAAAATCTTGTGCTAATTTTCATTTATTCCTCAAGATGGATCAATGCTTGGAAAGCTTTCTTCCGGGATTTCATTTTGTCAGTTTTCATTACTTAGTCGAACATAGATTTTCAAAAGTTCGACAAGTTCTGCCATTCTTCATGTAAAATTCCTTTTTTTTTTTTTTTCCTAACGGGAAATTATACTTTATTGGATTAGTTGCTTGTGAATGCATGTATAGGTTTCCAATTTAAAAGTACGAGCAAATACTAATTATTAGTCAATCTTTTCCACATTCTTTTTATTAGCCGAATGAATTACTAATAATTAGTCAAATCTTTCATAATGCATAAGAATATTAGTCATTTTCTGTTACCTATTATAATTCCGTAACTATTTTCTCAGTTAAAATACCAAAGTGTTAAAATGTTGACTTTCACGTGTCTCTTTCGAGTCAGTGTCATGTTGCCAATTACAAACAAAACTGATAAGCGAAAGTTAACATTTGGCTAAATATTAGTAATTCAATAAGTTTTGCTAATGAAAAAGAATGTGGAAAAGCTATTGATTTCATAGCTATTAATTAGCTTTAGCTGCGATTTTATTAATTATGGCAGTGATTTTGTGGCTATATGTGGCAAATCTTGTAGTGAGGGTTTGACTAATTTTAAGTATATACCCTAAAAAGTAAGATTGATTTTAGGCTTCCTAATTGGAAATTGAAAAAAAAAAAGCAAGTTTAACTATGCTAAGTAGCTAATTGTCGCATACTTAAACCATATATTTCTACCAAAAAAATAAACCATATATAGGTAGAAACTAGAAAGGCTTTAATGGCTCATTTGACCCAAAATCCAAAAATGCGACAAGGGTTAAAGAGCATAGGTTTCTCTCATGCCAATGAGACAGAGTGATATCGGCCTTGCGTGTAAGCTCTATGTACAAAGCTTGGGCCTGCTTATGGGCTTTTGTAGTAGAATCTGCACTTCGGGTTGGGTTTGTGGGATCGGCCTTCTGATTATGCCTTTTTCATGCTGGTTATTCTAGAATTCAGGTCAGGCTTTTCAATATTTTCTCAGCATATAATTGCGCACATTGTAATTTCATATCAAATATTAAAGTCTAAAGAGGCCAATAATCTCTTCTGCACTACATATACCTCCGCGCTGATGATGACTGTTTATATGCAAGAATTTAGGTGATATATGTAACACTCAAATCCCAAATATTATGTATTTGCCAAAAGAAATATTGTTTGTTGATGTATACAAATTCGTGTGGCCTATGGATTTGGTCATTTGTTTAGCTCCAAATTCGTGGATCCCGCGCGCGTATTTGCAAATACCACATTTCATTTGGTATTTAATCATGGAATGCAAGGATTTGTGAGTCATGGTACAATAACCTTTAAATCCATGATCAAAATCAACTAAACAAACAATGTTATCTTTCAAATACAAACTGTAACAAATCCATCATAAATCCAAAGGTTTTCAAAACTCAAAACCATCGTTTTCAAATCCAACAAGCAAAAGAGCCCTAAAGTGCACAACTTTCCACCCGGCTTGTGCCTGATGTTGAGACATTTAGTTTTATCATAGCATTTTGGTTTTTTATTTGTAAATATTTTTACGTTATTAATCTATTTGTGAATAAACAGTCTACTGGTGCTTTCATCGCTTCATACCACCTTCGGTTCTCTCAGTCGTGGAGTTCGCAGCAGTGGCAGAGACACTAAGGTTTATTTTTTTTTTTTTTGACAATAAGACACTAAGGTTGAATGTAGGTCATTTGCACCATTTTGGTCCAAAACTGTAGTAAGAAAATGGGTGATACTAACAGGAAATTTAAACTATAAAAAAGTATCACATGTATCCCAACATTTCATCTCCCGCTAAACTATAAAATTGGTGTATTCGATTGATGGCCGTTTCTCCTCCATTTCATCTCCCGGTGAACTGAACTGAGCTCGTGCTAATTATGGAAAGAGGGAAAAGGAATAAAAGAGGAGCGAGAAAACCAAAGTGGGGGCTCTGGGCTTAATTGCCAGAATTCTCTTCCATGGCTCACGGATCGTCAAAATTTGGGTTTTCTCATTTCTGGGTTGGAAAAATCTTTGAGAGAGAGGCGAATATTGGGATTTTTTTAATTTAATTTGGAATTAAAAATATGAGTTGTTAATGATGTGGCATTTACGTGGTTGTCACATTTTTGCCATGTCAACAAAAGTCAGCATCAAGTTGACTACCGTCTCGTCAACCGTTATCAATAACGGTCAACGAAATCGCCAGGACATTAATGATACACAACTATAATAGGTTAGACATTTCCGGAATATTGAATAGGTTGGGATAAAGTCACTTTCTTGAATATTGAATAGGTTAGACATTAACACTAATAAAATTTGTATGTAATTTTGGATAAAACACAATATCTCTCTATTATTCTAAATAGCTTTACGTAAAATTAATAATTTGTGATTTATATTTAAATTCCAATTAATTTATTTTGTAACTGAACTAAAAATGCAAAACTTAATGGCATTTTCTTTCTAAGTTAGCCTTACAAGTATTGAAAGCAAACAACATGAAAAAACACTTCAGAATAAGAAGATGTTGAAATCATAAATGATTTTTCGACAAGCATCTTAAGAATAATATTCCTCATAATTTGCACCATAAATGCATTTTATAAAATTTTC